TAGACCTAAGACACCAATTTTTATCAACATAATGTGCCGTTAAAGTAAGATAACCTCGATTAGTACATGCTGTCCACAAGTCACAAGTGAAGCTAACTCTACCTTCAATTCCCGAAAAAGATTGCAACAACAAAGACTTAAACTTATCATGCTCATCAATACAATGTTTCAAAATAGTGTTTCTACACACATGATTCACGTTGGGGTTCAAATTCGTGAAAACTTCCCTAAGGCCATGATGCTCCACAATACTTCAAGGATATGAATGCAAAATTATAGCTCTAGCAAGCAATTGTAAATGACGTGTTTGATTAAACAGGAGCTCAACACCACTTTCATGATTTCCAGGATGGTGTGGATTTTTTTTCATGCATGTCTTAGTATGAGCTTTACAAGTTGAAGTACCAGCATTACCTGGAGTTTTATATTCATTACCGCAAACATTGCATCGAGCATATTTTATCGGAGCAAGACCAACCATCTTATCAAAAAAGGTGTAATACCTCCAAACATCTGATGTTCGTCCACGCTTACTACCACTAGTGGTACGTTGAGTAGAATCTTGATTCTTTACAGTAGAATCCTCATCAAAACCAATAAACTCTTGCTCCATTGCTGAAAAAACAAAAACACAACAGTATAAATCAAGTGAAAAAAAAAGGCAAATTAAGGGCAAATAAAAAAAAATAGGCAAATTAACACAGCAGCTTCGGACCTGCTTGCTTCAAGCAAAGCACACCAGCAACCTAGCCCAGCAACAGACATACAACACAGCCCAGCTAACACAAGACGACAGCAAAACCACAACTGCAATACCCTAGAAAACCAGCAGCAACCAACCCCAGCACCCAGCCTGCAGCAGAGACATCAACTAGGACAGCACAAACCATGGCCAGAAAGACTCTGCTCTGAACAGGGCAGAAAACACCCAGCAGATCCTACAATCTAGCCTTGTACATCTAGCAGATCTGGCCAGACATTAGAACAGCAGCAGCACAGGACAGACCCTAGCTAGTACTACATGCTCTAAGCTGAGGTAGTCCATCTACAATTCAGTCCTAAAATATACTAAACACTATTAGACAACTCCTATCTGAATGCACTTGCACTTTTGCAACAAAACAAAACCCAAACTTAAATCAAAAAATCCTGCTAGCATTCAGCATTAACCCACATAAACAGAAACACTAATGAGAGAACAATGCAGCTAATAGAACAAAGGATAGCATTCAGTATATTTGAAGACTAATAGAGCATTATAGACAAAGCCATACATTTTAAATGCTCAACAAACAGCAAACAGTCACAAAGGCAGACCAACAACAACACAGCAGCCTGAAAAAAACCAAGCACAATTAATAACACGAAAAGAAACCACGAGCATGAATAAGGTAACCAAATCAACTCAATTGTTGCTCATGGTACTACAACCACAACCCTGATCAGAACTGAGCATAGCCAAAGCTGGTAAGGCCAGAACACCTCACAAATAGATATAACAAAAAATGAACAACAAGAACAATAAAATTAAAAAATCAGAAATTAAATGAACAACAAGAACAATAAAATTAAAAATTACATGAACAACATCAAAAAATCAGAAATTATATGAACAAATCAGAAATTATATGAAATTATATGAACAAATCAGAAGTAAAAATCAAAAAATAAAGACATGCAAATCCTGCAAACAACGAATCAGCAACATAAAACCGAAATGAAAACAAAAAAATTAACATAAAATTACCTTTGAGCAGTGACGGCTTGAAGGAGAGGAAGATTTGAAGATGGAGAACTGGAGAATGAAAAAAAAAACGAGAATGGAGAGATCGAAAAAAAAATCGAAAAAAACAAAACGAAAACAAAAACAATTAACTAAAATTTACCTTTGAGCTATTGAAGGCTAAGAGTTCAGAGCTTGAGAGTTGAGAACTTGAGAGTGAGTGAGGATTCAACGCTTCGATTTGAGGATGAAGAAGAAGAACGGTGAATGCTGTGGAATGAAGAGGATGAATGAAGAACCTAATTGCCTTTCAGTCTTTCACAGTTTCACGTTTCACTTTTTTTTTTTTTTTTCTCTTTTGCATAATATATGAACCACATGTTTATTTATTTATTAAAGAATCAAAATATCTAAATTCTAAATCTAAAATGTGTTTTTCCTTTTGGTTTTTGGAGGGAAATTTCCCACCATATTTTGTTGAAATTGTCAACCAAAAAAATGAAATTAATTTTCCACTTTGTAAAAATCAAAATTTTTAATTTTATTTTAATAACATTAAACAAACTTTTATACAATTAATTAATTACATGACTTTAAAAAAAAAACTAATTACATTTCTCGGATCCCGATAAAACGATATTCACCTTCATAATATCAGCTTTTATAATTTTTTTTAACACACACATTAAAATATTAAGTTCTTTAAATTATAAAATGTGAATCGGTTAGCGTGTAATTTCTAGGCGTTGCGATTAATAAAAAATCGAAAATTGTTCAATAAATAATGATGTCATATCTTAGAGAGTTAGAAGTACTACGGATTTGTTATATGGTTATATTTATATCAGTTTAGCTGTACCTATAAGCAATACACTTTTAATCGTGTAAACTTATAAATGATATAGTTGACTAGTAGATTAGTACATAAATACAAATTACTTAATTAGATATGAGTTATGTCTACATGAGTGATTGACTAATATGACTATATGAGCAATTGTCAATTTAGCATAGCTGCATAACAGATTAGCAGCGTACTAGACTATCATACTCGGTAATATACTAATACCATTTCAGTATTTGATCTACTAGACTCAAGTTAAAAGTTACTCTTTCTGATTAACTTGTTAGTCTAATTAAGTAATTACTAATTAGTGACTTAAGCCTTAAGGGTAAACCAGTAAAGGATATACAAAAATATAATAATTTTATGTTTCTCATCCCTTTATACTAATAATATCTAACTATGAGAATATGAGATGGTTATATGTTATGTATCTGTATAATCGATTGAAGGAATCAACATTACCTTCTTCTTCATTAATGTTTTCTTTCATTATACAAATCAAACTACTCTGTAATATCTTCATGTATAACTTTATGCAAATATATAATGATAAACGAGTCTTAATTATCAGTCTTGTTGACTAATTAAGTATCGAATACCAAATTGCAAATTTCGATGTCACAACAACTCATCAAATCATGATTATGACACTATTAACTAAATGATCAAATCAGAAGCAGATAATAATCTGATAGTAAAACAATAATACATTAATGCACTAAACTTTTATAATCTACTTCATAATAAACTAGTAAGATCAGTATAGCTAAACTTAAATCATAACATGATATGTATTTATAAAATTAATGAGAATTTGCATATAATATGATGCCTCAATATGAAGTGATGAAGTCTCGGCTTGATATAAAACTTGTTAACTAGCAAAAAGTTAGAAAGTAGTACAAAATTTTTTGAAATCAAAAACAGACTCGAACCGTAATTTAGTAAATCTGAAATAAAACCGATCTAAATAATGTTAAATCGTAGAAGAACCAAACCCGTGAACGAACCGAACCAGTTATAACCGAACTAAAATAAAACTAAACCAAAAAACAACCGAACCGTTTCCAACCTGAAACTGTTTGAACCGGGATAATAACCATTTACACCGAACCGTTAACAAACCGCAACCCGTCTGCACCGAACCGTTTACTACTTGGAATTTTTACAACCCGCACCGTTTACAAACCGAACCGAATTTAAACCGGGTTAAAAACCATTTACACCGAACCGTTAACAAACCGCAACCCGTCTGCACCGAACCGTTTACAACCCGAACCAAATTTAAACCGGGTTAAAAACCGTTTACACCGAACCGTTAACAAACCGCAACCCGTTTGCACCGAACCGTTTACTACCCGGACCGTTTACAACCCGGACCGTTTACAACCCGAACCGAATTTAAACCGGGTTAAAAACCGTTTACACCGAACCGTTAACAAACCGCAACCCGTTTGCACCGAATCGTTTACTAACCGAACCGTTTATAACCCGAACCGAATTTAAACCGTTCAAGAATAAACCGAAACCGAACCGAACCGATAATTATTTAAACCGAACCGAAACCGACCCGTAAGACATTTGAACCGATTTCAAACCGAACCGAAACCGAACTGTCAAACCGTTTTGACAGTGCTAGTAATAATAAGGACCGAATGCTTTGGTATATAATTTGTTTGTTGTACTGGGTCATTATGATATTTGACTCCATCAAATGGTGGAGGTGCCTGTTTTTTCAGGTCCTAAAAATTGACCTGGAACCTGATTTTTCAGGTCCAAACCCGAACCGAACCTGATTTTTCAGGTCTGACCTGGAACCGGATCTGTTGAATCAGGTCCGGTCTCCGGTCCTAAAAATTGACCGATTCAGGTCCCGGTCAAAACGAGTCCGGTCCAGGTCCGGTTCGGTTTTGGACCGGTGTACACCCCTACCTGTTGTGCCATAGTGGTACCTGTCGTGCCACGTGGGACCTGCCGAGCCACGGTGAGACTTGTCGCGCCACGGTGGGACCTGCTGTGCCATGGTTCTAGCCGCCGTTGTTGCTGCGCTAGATTAAATGTTATTGTTGCGGTTGCTGGTTTGCCACGCCACGGTGGAAACAATCATACAACGACAAACCTTGACGGACAACGGCATAGACCACTATGTGCCACGACAGTCCTGGCCGCGCCATGGTACTTGATGGTGGTTCACGGGCACATTTATTGGCTACTACTACAGCCAATAGTTTATCTTCCTTTAGCACTCTTACATAATTCTTGTTTTAAGCTCATGTCGAGGAAAAAAAAAATTAAAAAAAAATAAAAAAAATATCATTCAATTTATATCATTGATATATAAACATAATTAGATATCTTTTTCTTGGTAAATTATTGTAGAACTAAGGTGAATATTGGGATGATACCATCATACAAAGTCAGACACGCAGATTGATCAAGAAATTCCTGAATATAAGCATTATCTTGGGAATCAAAATGCAGCAGCCAGATATGATGCCTCAAATGTACAGAACTAATGTACAGAGAATGACAATACAAAAAATGTATCTCTAACCTAGGTTACGACTGGGGCTAGGTAAAAAGCCTACGGATTAACTTTGAATATACATTCATATTTGGATAGTACAGTATTACAAAGTCAGATCTAACTCCGTGTTCTAATGTTAGCATGCTCAAGAGAGAATCTTAAAATTCTGTTTCATCTTAACAGTGATTGAAGATTTCCTCGGATGACAGTCGCTTGGGTCAGAAACTAGTGCAGCCTCAGCCCTGGTTAAATCCATCATCTTAACAGATCTTTCTGATCTTACAGCAGCTCAAACAAATTGAGTCCCATTACTATAGTTTGCATTCTCAAGGATGCATCTTACAGCACAGTTTCTTCTTCATCATTATCACTATATACAAATTCCTCAGAGTCTGAAACTCCTTCCATACTATTGGCCTGCGACTGTTGAAATTTATCAATGGCATCTTTAGCATAAAAAACTAGGGCATCTTTCGCTGCTTTAATGATATCCTTCACGTGAACAGAGTTTTTTTTTCTATCCAATTGGTTACGAGCTGACTTCAGACAGCGTGAGAAAGCCACCGTTCTCTTATTCTCCCTGATGTGCAATTGGTCAATATACTTCTCATGTAAAGCCATATTCTTCACCTTCTTCAGAACTGGAGGACTTGTAAGGGGGCTTGCACTTCGATTGCTGAACCTTGAAAGGTGGTTCTTACGGCCTGAAGAAGATCTGTCCCAAGACTTTGAGGAGGAATCTGGGCTTCTCAGTAATTGTTTTGGAGTCAACTGTACAGCATTCAGCTGAAGGGCTTCAGCTGAGTAATTTACTGAAGGCTCAAGAACAGCAAACAAATCTGCTTCATTATCTTGATTCACATGACAATACTTCTGCAATAATTGTCTCACAGTTTTACGTGCCACACGGCTCTTACACTTATTCTTGCAAGGCCTTTTGCTCTTTGTTTCAACATTTTTAAACAATTCACTGCCAGAGACCAAGTCAGATGGTGAGTTCTGTTTTTTAGCTCTTGAAGATGACTTAGAGCAAAGTGGAGTCTGATTGTCTGAGTGAACTTTATCAAAACATTCTTGAGCACATTTTCCTGGAACCTGAAACAATTGGATGACCACAACAGTTAGACATGAACATTAGACGGTTCTTTGAAAGTTTCTGCAACTGTTTTAGACACATGCACATCTCATCTACAAAATTTAGGATGATAATATTCGAAAAGTAGACTTGATACACAACCGAACTGCAGCTGAAATTTTCTACACCAATGCAATAATTCTATCAACCTTCCTTCTGCTACTCTTAAGTAAATTCTTAACCTCACCTGAAAAGCAGAACAAAACCAGAAAACCCGAAACAACAACAAAGTCAAATCCCCCAATAATGCAGCCCTTCAAGCACGTAGAAATTCTTAGACGCCAAATCCAACAAACTAAAGATTGCTTCCTCTACCTAATAATTATGAAATCTAGAGTGAGAGAGATATATCTCAGCTCTTAGAAACTATTTATTATTGTCCCATGAGATCTCTTACCAACTATGGTCACAAGCTCGCAATGTTGGCGTTGGCCTAAAGTATCCACTTTGAGGACTCTGCAAGTTTATTCATCTTTCCAATTTTCTCACATAATTCAGCCAAAAGTCTCCTACAACATGAAACGAAAACCAACACCAAATCCTTCTAGAGCCCAAACCTCCATTTCTCCTACCCGCTGTCCTCCTTGCTTGGCTCTTCCTCGAAGGGGTTGTTGTGTAACAAGCGCATAATGTCCACTCGAACGTCCATGTATTTTATCATCAACTTGATGAATTAATTTCAATATATAAGGATTTCCTATTATAACAGGTTGTTCAAAAGGATCCCCCGTTCTTCCATCAAATATTTGACTCTTTCCCGGATACTCGGGTTCAAATACCCACGGATTCGCTGTTTGCTTACTGGCTTCATATAATTCAGAAAACACTAGTTTTCTCGAAGCCTCCTGCTCATATCTTTCATCAAAAGGTGCTATTCGATAATGTCGATCTAGCAAACTCCCCGCTAACCCGAGCTAACATTCAAATATCTGTCCTACATTCATTCGTGAAGGTACTCCTAATGGGTTAAAAATCATATCAACAGGTCTTCCGTCTTGCAAATAAGGCATATCTTGTCTAGGCAAAATTCTGGCTCAAAAGTTCAAATCACTTTCTGTTTTAGAGTGTTTCGGATAGTTCAAGTCGCTTTTACTTTATTCCATTTTTAGCAAAGCCTTTTCACTACTTTACTCCTCTTACCCCACACTATTTTACAATGGACTCAAGACTCACACTCAGGCAATAACAGATATAGCAGAAACTCAGAGTAGCTTTAGGCTACGACTCTAATGTGAAACACAATACAAATAATCAGCTGCCTTCTTTCATTCCCTCCTCTCTCTTGTATACATGGTTTTGGTCCACTGTCCTAGTAGCTGTCCTCTGTCAGATGCACCACTATTTGATGTAGTGTGTTGTAGCTGCTTGCCCTGGAAGTGGCTGTTCTGTATTCTGTAGTTGCTGCTCATCAGTGGTCGTCCCTTGTTTCTTCCTTCTGGCATATTGGATACAGACAGGTGGCTTTGTTGCTCGTTCTATCACATATTTACACTTTTCCACCAGCTCTCTTACGTTATCCATCTTTAGCTTACACTTTCCACTCACTATCTCTTATTTTATCAACCTTTTCCTTACATATCTATCCATGTTTTTGCCAATTTGTCTTACTTTATCCACCTATTTCTTATACACACTCACTTTTCCTAACTTTCCCAGAGAAAGAGTTTAGAGTGAGTTAAACTTTTGAAAGCAAAAAAAGTATATGAGACTACTTGATTAGCCCAAGTTCAGATATATACCAACCTTAGAATCAGATCTTAAGACCTTTATTTAGTGTGATACTGTTAAGAAAAAAATTGTAGTACAAAGGTGAAAACAGGTCAAAATTATTAGTCAAATCTCATACATACTTAGGATGTATAAAAACATGCGGAACACAAAAAAGGCTGAAGAATTGTTTTTTGTAGACCATGCACTGTACACCAGTCCAGAACCGGAATATCTGATTTTCGCAGACCGGAAACCGGACCTGAATCATCCAGTTCGGTTCGGGTCCAGACCTGGAAATTCAGGTCCAATCCGGTTTTGAACTGGTTAGACCGGAGTTTGGGTTATAGTAAAAGATTGAGAGTGTAGGTGAGACCATGGGAGGAGATGGGGGAAATTAGGTAGTAAGAATGAGAGTGGAGTTTGGCAGCTATATCTATAAAATACAGCGGGACCGGTCTCCAGTCCAGACCAGAAAGATCCGATTTTACCCAGAACAGAATCCACTAGTCCAGTTCCGGTCCAGTTTCAGTTCCAGTCTGTTTTATGAACAACCCAAGAGCACTATTGTATGAACAGACCATGTAGACATCAACTGACCGGCATTACATTACATACTGCAATTTGAAATCATAATGTCCTGTTACAATATAACACAGCCATATACCCTGAATTTGACACCGGTCTAGCCTAATTATTAATAAGGTGGTCAAAATGCCATTTTAAGCTCCCTAAGCTGAATATGAGTGCCCTGAGCAGACTTCAAAGGTTACCTTATTTTATCATAAGACAGCTTGATCCCTATAGATCATGCAGCTTTTCTTACAAAACTCACCATAGATTTGGGAGCTTAACTTTCAAGGACTATCTTGCATCATACACCATGTCCACTTCACATAGTTCACCTTGGCAACTTTATTCTAAAGCTTATTGTGATCATTAACAAACCTACAAAATTTTCTATCAAACTTCATTAGACTTCATGAGGAGACTTCAACAACAAATTCAATAAAATAAAAAAAATAGCCCTCGTTGATAAAGTTTTAACTAACATATCCATTCCCTTCCTCTTATGTTTATCCAAAGCCCTAGCTTTTTCTAACTCATCCAAGGGGTACATACAAACTTCATTGATTTGCAGCATATCCTAAGCATCATTGCAATCTCCAATTCTCCAAATGGAGCTCAAAAGGAACTTACTACTGACAGGCATCCTTCTCTGCCAAAAATAGAAGTTAATGCATTCAGCAGAAATTCATGGTCACCTTAACATTATGGCTTTTAGTCAGTTGTGGCAGTAATGGCACCCCATTCAGAAGTAGCAAGGGGGGAGAGAAAGTGAAGGAAAAACAAACATCCTCATTCACCAGCAAGTCTATTTTAAGAAAAGAGAAAATTCTGTTACTTGTGATCACCAATCAAAATCTTAACAAGCTATATTTAAATTTTGTGGGAATAGTAAACTCGAATTAAATCAAGTCATGCCTCTTAGCCTGAGCTCGGCTAATAAAGATGAAAAAAAGAGTTAGTTTTATCTAGAGTTCAATATCCAAAATCCCATGAGACATGGTCAATGGTTCTCAAGTAGTTTAGTTCTTTAACAAATTCAATCAACAAAAACCCTCAAATCTAAAATTTCGGCAATACATATGGACCAACTTAGTGAATACTTCACTGACTACAACATGTCAAAGCTTCATTCACAATGAGAAACAATTTGAGAAAAATCCTCAGTTATCTAATAAATACAAAAGAATGGTTGAGCTTTGGTAAGGAATGAATGATTTAAAACAGGAAAAATACGGGGCACCAATATTGTCAAATCCTACAAGTTCATCAATATTTGCAGCACAGATGAAATCAATACTTTGTTTCAAGAAAGTAACACCATTATTTTTCCAGATGCTTTTCCCATCGCATCTTGTGTATTGTGATAGGGCCAACGGTAGGAAGTTACTTTAATCTACAATATGTATAATCTTCTAGTGTCATACATTAGATTCTTTTATACTTATCCTGCTTCAAGACTTTGGAGGTGAGCTGTAAGCAATGGCATTTGTAAATAACAATTCGACAATCAAAAGAAACCATTCTATTTATCAAAGAGCCAAAAATGAGGTTAATATAGAAGCAAAATCTATATTCCACCACATGATGCACAGCAGAAAAACTATTGATATTCTTTTACTCGTTATCTCAGTCCACACATAAGCAGAACAAATCAGAGCAATACGCATAATAAACACATAGAGCAAGCAGGCATATACATCAAGATCCAAAAATCAGGGAATAATACCAGTTTAGCAACTTTTTTCCAAAAATGCGGACTTGGTTTTGCAGTGAAATAAGCTTTATGCAACGCCACTTCCTGTTCCTTTGTCCACCCTTGACTATTCCCTTGAAGCTCATCTTGCTTTCTTCTCCTTTTTACTCCAGTCAGTTTGGATTCCCTTCTTCCTGGTATATTTACTTCAGCACAATCATCAGATTTCTTTTCCTTAGCCTTGATGTCTTTTGAATTTTTCTTCTCGTCTTCTAAAACACAGGCAGACAACACTGAACCAAATTGTATTGTCATTCGTGGTTCAGTCTTAATGTATGAACCACTGCATGTAGAAGACATTCGGGTGCTCCGCCTCAACATAGTTTGACAATTTAAACCCACCTGTTTAGAAACACTACGCGTAATTCTCCTCTCCACATTTCCATCTTTTTGCTTGCATGAATCATCTGTTTTAGAAACACTACGCGTAATTCCCCTCTCCACATTTCCATCTTTTTTTTTGCATGAATCATCTGTTTCACCATCCCTTCCATGTTCATCATCAACAAGATTGTTCCGTCTTCCCCTTCGACATCCTCTATTAACACAACCATAAAGAGAAATCGACCTAATTGTTTTAGAACCTTTACAAGAATCACTTCTGTTTTCCTTCCCCTTACCACAACTTTTTCCTTTCACTTCACCACGTACTGCAACAGCTGAGCGTTGCATCGGACAGAGAACTTTCCTCGCTTTCGGTTCACAACCCTGATTGTTGAACAAATTCCTGCCTATTTGTTTACTTTGTGAATTCAACCCAACTACTACTTCTCTTCCCAACAATCTAGAACAACTACGGGTAATCCTCCTCTCCAAATTCATAGTTCAATCCTAACATTAAAGGGTTGTGCAATACATTAGCAACCAAATTTGATTCAATTATCTCGAAAAATAACATCATTTTAGGGTTATGTAAATAAATTATCAAATTAGGCCCAAAATTTCTATTCATAATCTTAGTATTTTAGATTTAATTTTTCGAACCCTACACTTACTGCACTGACAATTAATTTAGATTAAATTAGATCAAAGATGAACCCTAGATTGTAAAATTATTATGATGATTACTAAAAGAAACAAAAACTTACCTTAGAAGCTCCTTCAATGGGGGATACAAGTATTAGAAGACGCCTCGACGGGGAACGTCAAGTGCGATGTGCCGATGTTGAGTGCGCTTCAATGGAGAAGGAGGCAGGGCTGTTCATCGGTTTTTTCTGTTTTTTTTTCCCCCCGAGCAATTCAATTAGCACTATCAACTACAACTTTCAAAGCAAAACCATTTCACTACTCGAACCGTACGATTCAAATGAGAACTAAAGCGATTACAAACCAATTATTTGAAATCGAAATATTGATAATATTAAACCGTATATAAAACAAACCTGTTAACAAATATGAACCATTTCTAATGCTAACTAAACTAAAACCGAATCAAAAAAGGAGTGAGCCGTTGTTGAATCGAAACTGTTTGAATTGGGTTAAAAATTGTTTTAACCAAAATCGTATCAAAAAGACAACCCATTTTAATGGAACCATTTACAAAACGAACTATTTTCAAAAATGCAAAAAAAACCAAAAAAAAAAAACAAAAACAACTAGTTGTCATAATTAGTGGATATTTCCGTTATGAAATATTGTGTGGATGCCCATTATTTCTGTACACTCTGGAATATTCTAGGTTTAGGGTTTTGTATTTTCTAAGAAAACCCTAGCTTATGTACATGTGTATATATATCCCCTACTTAAAGGAATAATACACCCTGTTTCGGGGTTTTCTGATGTCCTGCGGGAGAGTTACAATTCCGAGACTGGAACCGGACGCCTGTACCTGCAAAACAACGGAGACTCCTGGTGGTGGGAGCTCCGCCTCCAACGGTCAAGTTAGTACTTGATTAAGGAGTAATTAATGCGGAAATTAAAGTGATTAGGTCTCTCTAGGTGAGAGTGTTTAATGTAGGTAATCTGCTTTGTTAGCGTGATCAGCCTGTTATCTCTGTGTAATCTCTGTAATTAATGTAATCTCCCTTAATGAGGATTAAGGGAGATATTTATAACCTTGGGAAACGTGATAATCCTAGGTTTAGGTTAACCTAGGGCTGATTGGGCTTCCCTCGGAAGTTGGGCCTGGGTGGCCGGTTTCTCCATTAGGCATGGAGTATGCCACGTGTCATGACATAATAGGTCCAAGGTGGACGAATAAGTGTGTGCCATGTGGCAAGCCCTGACAGTTCCAACTGGGGGACACTTGGCAGGACCCGATTGGCCCACGTGGCGCATTCCGATTGGGAGGAGCAAAATCCCCTAATCATTTGCCCCTCACAGGTGGCACGTGACTGGGCACGTGTTACCTGTGACAGGTGTCGAACTGTAACAGGCGACGGCCTGCTACAGGTGTCACTCGGCGAAGGGCCGAGAGTTTCTCCCGCCCAAATTTTGAATTCTGGAAGTGACCCTTCGCCTTCTCACTTCGCCTATATAAAGGAGTGTTGACTTCAGTCATTTTCACACTTGAGAACTTTGTGAGAGAACATTCGGACTCCTGAACTTGCTCTGACATTTTGGACTTTTCTGCCTACCGCCTGCTCTGACAAGCCGACTGCAAAGGATTTTCAGAACTTCATCAATCGTCACTCGTTCAGGTAACTGTCGGTTCTCTTACTCTTAATTTTCTCTTTATTTTTTTTTTTTTTTTGAAATGGCACCACGGAAGCACACGACACGACCTAGGTTAGTGATCAGTCGGTCACCGGGGACGGCTGAATCTAGGACTAGGAGTGCCGCCTGCCCTTTTCCGGACCCATCTTTGCCCTTTATACAAAGTCCGACTGTATCTGTGTCTATGCAGAGCATGATGGCCAGAACAAAAAAGACTGTCAGGATCTCAAATTCAGACGGCTCCTCCCGCAGGGTGCCGATTAGTGAAACATCTGACCAAGCGCCAGATGTGGAAGTGAAACAAAGCGGCTTGAAAGCCGGCTGCTCTGAGGGAGGAATCAAAGTGACCCCTTCCCATTTCTCAGTTGACAATTCTTCATTCTCTCCTGCTCCCTTTAAAGGAGAGGAGGCGGGCCCCTCCGGGAGAGGGGAGGAGTCGTCCTCTTCGGACTCGTTGATCGGCCCCCTAGGTGTCGTTAGTTCCTAAAGGTCGAGTCAAGAATAAAAAGAAAACCCACGTCCTAAACTAACCAAAGGTAGCATAGTGGAAGAGGGGTCGAATCCTCAGGGAAGGTCAAACGTCTCTTGCTTAGATCACTTATGAGTCAATTGAAAAGGGAGGAATAAATTTTTGATGGATTTATCTATAGCTACTAGGGAAACAAATAAACTAAGAACTAAATTAACAAGCAACAAGCAGAGGTATAAAACTTCGAAAATCAAGGAATAGCAAACACTAGGGGATAGGGGAGAATTCCTAACTAACAATGATTTCAACAATTAGAGGCAACAAGAATGGTTCAATCGGTCAACCAAACAATTGGGGCCTATGGTCCAACATCTAGGATTCCCTCTCGGGCTCACCTAAACACCGCCTACCCAACCCCGCCTCGGTGGTCGAGGTCATCCCTAACCTAGTCATCATCACATACAAGCTCACTCTCGCGCAACTAGCATGCAACACAAAATAGGGTCTTAGAGGTGATCAATCTCTAATTCCTAACAACTAAAACCTAGGTTGGAATCAATTGCAAAACTTCTCAATCTACCCAATCTTGCACCACATATCATTCATTTCATCATTAGTTCATCATTTCCCCCTCCCCTAGCTAGAAACCTAGCCTAGAGAAGGAAGGGTCATACCAAAGCACACAAGAACATTAACAAAAGCAAAAACTAAGTTTAATGAGAGAAACATGGCTAAAACCAGAAAATAGGATGATTAAACTTTACTAAAGAAGTTAACTTTGAAGAGAATATGTTAAGTCTACTTGTAATCTATTCTAAATAGCATGAAATCTAAGCAAATAAGGATAATATTATACTAATAGCAAGAAAATAATGGATCAAAACCAGAAATTGCAAGTTTAAACAAGGAGGCAACTAAGATATTAAACTATTCTATTGACTTGAAATAACAACTAAAGATAAGCTAAAACTAATTAAAATAGATAAATAAAGCAATAAATAAAGAGTAGGGATAGAAATAATACCAAAAGATTTAATCTTGGATTGAAAATGAAAGAGAGTGACAAAGAGTAGTGTTTTAGATCTAATGAGGAACTAAACCCTAACTAATCTAAAGTGCAAAAGAAAGAAAGAAAAACAATAAGCTGAAATCTGATTTTCTAATATTTCTCTCTCTACATACCTCTCTCCTCCCCTATTACAAGGAAGAGAGGTATTTATACCCTCCTCTAAAACCTAACCCAAATCAAGGCCCAAAATTTTAGGCATCACGTGCAGAGTAAAATAATTAGAGCCGTCGGCCTACGCGTGTAGCAGAGTTCAAATCGGTCAGGGGAACACGGAGCGCCCGCTCTAAGGCCAGAGCGCTCGCTCTGAAGTCTCGCAGAAAATGCTCTGATTATTCTGGGAGCTAGAGCGCCCGCTTCAACATTAGAGCGCCCGCTCTGAGGGTTGGGTACTTGGTTTTTCTGCAGCAAGGAATACAGAGCGCCCGCTCCATATCTAGAGCGCCCGCTCTGAACTCTTCTTTCCTTCATATTTTGGGCTCTAATGCTCCAATCCCTTTGACTCCAAAGCATGCCTAATCCTTGCATCCAATCCTTGCTTTCTTAGCCACGGGAGGACCTGTAAGATGGAAAACACAAATCATAGGAAAGGTTCTAATAGGAGCAAATTGAAATGGGTTAAAGGAGAGGGAATAAAACCTTAGGAAATGAGCCAAAAATGACTCAAAACCACTCCAAGTAACAAATATGCTCAATAATAACAAAACTAAGCTAAAATAGAGGAAAAAGGGCAAACAAAGGGCTCAATCGGGGAAGAAACGAAGTAGAAAAGTGGGCCAAATGGCCACTGATCAAATTCCCCCCAACTAAGTCCTTTGCTCGTCCTCGAGCGAAGTAAAATAAGCAAACAAAAATAACCAAAAGCATAAGTCTATACACTAACTCACTTTCGTAGGAATCACGGTCGTTTTTAACGTAAACGACAAGCCATTTAAATCCCCAAGTCACTTAGGAGGACGAGTATGCTCTCGTGAGGGTTTTCGAGAGAGATTAACCCACAACTTCGCACTAAATCAAGGCAAGGTTTTTAGAGACAAATAGAAAAATAGAAAAATAGAAAAATAAAAAGGGAAAGAAACACAAACATGAATGGTTGAACTTTCACTACAATGCAATCACAAGGATGCGCAAGCTTCTTGACAAGATAGGTGGACAAGCTAGCTAATGCTCCTGGTTGAAGGCCACATAGCTCATGCTCAAAAGCTTGGACTATAAAGATCCTATCCTCCAATTGTCCCTCACCAAGGCAACCTTCCTCATCTCGATCATGTACACTAGGCGGCTAGTCGTCTCGAATTCCACAAGAGAATTAGGAGAACAACAAGGAGGTGGGCAAGGTAGGATTGCCCTAACTTAGTAAATGCAAATCCAATCTAAAAGCTCGACCCATGACTCTCTCCACCAACATTGACTCAATCTCTCAAGGTCCAAAGGGCTTTTAAGGTGCAATGAAATGGCTTGGGGTAAGGGTTAATTCTGGCTGGTGGTGTAAGCTCCTAAGAGTGAAACATTAATGAATCGAGCAAAACCAAGGCCAACTAACCTTAGTTGGTGGGTATTATACCCCCCAACTAACTCTAAACTATATACAAGATTGATGCCTTACTTATGCATTCTTATTCCAACTTTTTTTTTTTTTTTTTTTTTTTTTTTTTTTTTAATACCAAAAGATTTAATTGGGGAAACAAACACGTCCCTTGCAATTTACATTATAGACATCCACTATGCCAAACTTTTAACTTAGATACAAAGCCAAGCTCGAGTTTCACTCATTTCTATAAAGGTGAAAATAAAATTAGGTTCATAAGGCTTGTAATGCGGGTAGACAAAAAGTGGAAGGCTCAAGGGGGTACGCAAAAGGTGAATGTAAACCCAAAAACCTGAAATTTGAAAGTAAAGGTGTCCTAGGAAATAAAAAAAAGGATCTAAAAAGAACGAAAAATTATGCCCTTATCCCGAAATGAATGCCTTTATCATCCTATGAGTCGATTCGGTCGCGGTCTCAAGAGTCAAATGGAGCGAGTTTTAGATCAAGTAGCAAAACACTAAGTCTCCAAATTTCTAGCCACCTAGCTTTCATTCACAAGATGAGCTACGCCCACAACCACAAACCGAGGACAAAAGGGATCAAGGCCAAAATAGCCCAAGATATGTCCAATAGGAGTCATTTGAGCAATGAAGCTATGTGATTTTCAACCAAAACATTAAAGACCTTGTAAACCTATCAAACCAAGGAACCAACTCATATATGTTCATACATTGTAGCTACTAATTCAGCCAAACACAAAACAAAGTTTTAACACTTGCCTTGGATAACACTAAGAGAAAGAAAAAGAAAAAGAAAACATTGAAGAGCAACAAGAGAAGTAGGACTTCGTTTGGAATAAATTCCATAAGTGGGGGCGGTAGAAGGTACGTGAATTGAATGCACGTCCTCCTAGGCATAAAGTCGGGCGCCTCTCACGAGGTGTGAACCTCGCCCCGTTGCTACTCTTCAACAAAAATAGAAAGGAAGGGATAGAAGGATAGAAGAGGAACTCAAGAATGAAAGCATCAATTCACACAAT